TATATATATATATGTATATATATATATTTTAAGGTGGTATGTCTGCTATGTGATTAACATCGGTTGTTCCTAAACTCGAGTGTCGAGTATATATATATATATTACTTCATATGATCAATTGGATTACTTGATCTAAAGCATTACTGTGGACATTTAAGGTCATAGTAGTTAGAGCACTCGCAGTCATTTTATTACTATAAATGTGTTTTGGCGACCATTTAGAATCTTGCATTTTCGCTATAAAGATGTATGCTATGGTGTTTTATAGCGTTCAATTGGATTCCTTGAACTATTGAACTAAACAACACAGGTTTTGACACCAAGATTATAGTAATATGACAATTAGAGCCTTTAAACTGCCAAATTGTGTATTTTTGGTGGCCATTTTGAATATTTTATTAAAGTTTGAATTTTCACGATAAAGATGTACGTTATTTTATTTTAATAATGTTTTACTGGATTCCTTGAATCAAAGAACATATGTATTGACACCAAGATCATGGTAATGTGGACACTTAAAGCATTTAAACTGCAAAAATTGTTTTTTGGCGGCCATTTTGATTTTTCCAATTTTCGGTGCCAACTGTTGGAGTGACATCATGGTTCCCGCAATTTTTAAAATCGGCATACTCAAAAACCCCCTGGGACAAAGTTTCATGTTTCTTTCCAGAAGTGCACATCTTGACCAAAAAATGTCACATATCCGTCACACTATAATAGTAAATTATTATACAATATTAAAGAATTATTATTAATAATATTAATATTATTATTATTACTATTATTATTATTATTATTATTATTATTTAGTTAAAAATTATTTACTCCATCAATCGAATTTTTATTATTTACCTGTTTATATAGATAACAGTTGCTTACAGTATGTTGTTTATTTATTTTTTTTTTGTAGACGCCGCAATTTAAACAAAGATATTGTTAGAACTCCTGTCATTCAACAAGAGATAGTACATGGAATAGGTGAGATAGTTAAATTACTGTAATTTTAAACAGTATTTATAATTAATTCATTACTACAATCATCGTCGTAATCTATCATCACTCTAATCATACTCATCATCGTTATAAATAATCATAAAAATAATCATTATATTAATATAATGATCATTAATGATCAGTCACTCATAACAATTGTCATCTATCATTATTATTGATATAATGGTCATCATTCACACCACAATCACTGAATACAAACATCGCTTTTCATGTCAGTATAATTGTCGTCATTATTATAATTGTCTTTACCATTATTATTATCTTTATTATCAAAATGTTCGTTATTATCACTTAGAAGTATCATTACTAAAGTCACACATCATCACCGAAATCAATCTTAAATATAATTGTTTCCTTCTACGCATTTGGAATACCATGAAAAATGAAATCTGAAAGATGAGTGTCTATAAACATTAACATCTGATAGAGTAGAAAAGACTTACCAACAATTTAAGTCTGTAACAACTTCCTGTAGCCTGTGATTCAAGTTAATTCATTTCAAGTACTTAACCTTTTTGTTTACTTCTAATAGAAAATGAAATGCTGGCTGCTGTGGAGGGTCATGCTAGTTCAGTTGAAGTAAAAGACTTAGATGATGATTATGATGACAATGATCCTACAGTCAGAAATGTCTACGCAAACGCTGAACCTATTTATGGAAACACAAACTTGGAAAATCAGGAATACAAGCCGATCGAGTTAGCAAAGTTACATGATTACGTCATGAATCGAAACAAGAGCTTAGAAAACGGATTTGCGAAAGAATTTGAGGTATGTCCTACTAGTCCACATCTACTTCATTTTTGGGTGGTATGGTGTCAGTGTCAATTGACAGATAAAAGCAAATTCACTCTCTAATCCTCATAAAAGGTGAATGATATGTGTATCGTTTTTTTTTTAAGGATTTAAACTTAAAGTAAGTGCATACAAATTTGTAAAAATATAATTAAAATAATATATTGATGCACCATCATCTTCTATCGGTCATTTTTAATATATGTAGTGGATAGTTTTATTGTTGTATATGCATTGATACACTTAATCCAACCTGATAATAATAACGTTTCTTGGTCCACGAAAAGTAAAAATATAACACAAATAAATGCATTAATTTTTGTTTAATATTATCTTCCTAATATTTCTGCAAATATTACGTGGTAATTTTCTTCTTAACAGGACCTTGGCAATAAGCCACTATTCCCTTGGACTGCTGCGAAAAACTCTAAGAATAGAACGAAAGCATGAGAGAGAAACGCATCCAAATGGTGCAGACCGAGGTTGTATATCATTTTTTTAGTTCCTATGCATGTAATGCAAAAATTCCTACTGTACTTAATCTTGTCAGACTGACCTACCTTTGCCCTTGTTGAAATTAGCAATGTGTCATTAAAATAATAGTGCAAATAGTACTAACCCATAAAAAAGTATTGTGTTTATTGATATTGCATTTAGTAAATATTTTTTCATATATAACCAAATATTGTTATATTACTGTAATTTAATTTTTGTCATCTTTGTCTTGGTTTCATTAACGAATACTATTTCACAAAATAAGCTATTGTATTTTATCATATATGGGGAAGGATGGAAGCTGCTCCTCCCTGGATACGTCCCTGCGAAGGTTAAAAACAATCCATAGTGATAAAAATATCACAGTTCATGTATTGATTTTTTTTCTGTCTTACCTTAATTGTATCTTGTTTATGCGGACTGTCTATTTTTTCATTGTAATTATTGTGCAGGACCATTGTTAAAAACAGGCATTAACATCTTCCTAAAAATGTATCCTGGGTAAAGATGTTTTGAATAAAAAAAATAAAAAAATAAATAAAATGTTTTTAAATTGAAATATTTTGTGTATAAATTCAGTCATATAACTTCACTACTATTCTGCATAGGAACGTTGACGCTTGCAAGGTGGTTTAATATATTGTTGTCTAGTAGGCCATGCCAGCTCGCCCCTACTCCGATATCATTCCAAACTACTGCAAAATGGAAATACTTTATACCTATGCCTACAAAATTATTATTTTTTTGTTTCATGATTCTACCAACTGTAATTTGCCTATCAAATAACATAGCTAATGTGGTTTAAAATCACTATTCTGGACCATAAAAAGCCACTCTCCCTGAATTGTTCAAGTTAAGCCACCACACAAATTTGACCCAACCTCATATATTTTCTGGTAAAGTCATGTATAATGATGCATAGGAACGTTAACGCCTGCAGGGCTCTGATTTTTAACATGTTTTTTCTAACATGTTACAAATATTGACTTTTTATTTTAAAGGGTCATGGTTTAAAATCTAGCTACTATGTGAAAATGACCGTTATATGGCCCTCACTCATCTTAAAAACCCGATCTCGAAAGAGATCATTCTTTATACGTCATTATATGTAAAGGATTTAGGGGGGGGGGGCGGAAAAAAGAAAGAAAAAGAAAAAAATGATTGCCCACAACACAAACATTTCGCGGGGGCATGCCCCCGGACCCCCTAGAACGTTGTTGTCGCGATCGTCCCAAATTTCGGCCCCCGTTTCGGCTCCCCCTTTTGGACATCTCTGGATCCGCCCCTGTATAGTCATCAAAGAATCATAAAATTACTCATGGAGCTACTCTCATCATGTAGTTTCTCTCCCATTGAATTAAGAAAGTCATTCATTATCAGCACAATAGTACTGTAAGAGTAAGAAAGCATTTCATAAATATTTATTATATATTAGTTTTATCGGAGAATTGGTTTTATTAATGCATCATACCTTGCTCAAATTACCGTCTACCAAGTGTTGTTATCTGATTGTATTTGCTAATTTACTAAACATTTACCACTTGTTCTTTTTTTCTAAATTATTATTATTAGGCAATATATTTATTGATTTAAAAAGTAGAAGAATATTTCATATTTGAAACGAAATGTGCACGATGTAAACAATAAATATATTATGCCTTTTGTTATATAGTACAATTGTTATCATTATTTCCAATTGACTAAAAATTCGATTATTATCAGTTCGTTATGACTAAATGTCTCTCTTAAACCAACATATTAATAGGAGCAATACAGGTTTATCTATGCAGTTTTACTTGAAGAGTTGTTCTGTGGACAGACACAAATTTCAGTAACTAATTTATACCAAATAATCCATGAACAGCGACAAGTGCATGGAACGCACTCCTCCGTCGAATTCCAGCTAAAGGTATACTAATGTATTGCAGTATCAAGATATAATTATGCCTACAATAATTCCAATCTGTAGATATGATATCTTAGCAAATAAGCGAATATACCATGCCTTTTTGTATGCTTGATATGTAAGTATATATA